CCTGAAGGTCCCAGGCCTCAGAGAGGTTAGGCTGGCCTCAACCAGAGCCAGGGCTTTGTCGGCTGCGGCTCCAATCTGGTGGAACGCTCTGTCACAAGAGACCAGGGCCCTGCAGGACTTGACATCTTTCCGCAGGGCCTGCAAGACAGAGCTGTTCCACCAGGCCTTTGGTCAGGGCGCAGCCTGACCCCCTCCCTCTGGCAATCTGCACAGAATTTTGCTTAATGGTTGCCATCAATTTGATTTTAATTAATTTTTATAATGAAATGTTTTTAGAATGTTGGATTATTTGATTGTTGTTAGCCGTCCTGAGCCCGGCTTCGGCTGGGGAGGGTGGGATATAAATAAAATTTTTATTATTATTATTATTATTATTATTATTATTATTATTATTATTATTATTATTATTATTATTTCAGACCAGCTTACTGCCCCACATGAAGGCAACGAGAGGGTTCAAAATATGGTGTCTTTTACAAGGATGTAAGAGCCAGCCGGATCAAGCCGGCATCCTGTTCTCAGAGTGGCCAGCCAGATTCCCAAAAGGGGAGCCCACAAGCAGGACCGGAGAACGAGATCCCTCTCTCCTCCCAAGGCTTCCAGAAAATGGTATTCAGATAAATCCTGTTTCCCACAGTGGATGCAGAACACAGCCATCAAGGCTAGAAGCAGCCACTGATAGCAATATCCTCCACGAATTCATCTAATCCTCTTTCAAGCCTTCCAAGTTGGTGTTCACCACTGCCTCCTGTGGGAGGGAGTTCCGCAGGTTAACTGCGCTGTGTGGAAAAGGACTTTATCTGCCCTGCATCTTCCCAACATTCAGCTTCATTGGAGGCCCACGAGTTCCAGTCTTAGGAGGAGGGAAAGGAAGGTTTCTTTATCCTCTTTTTCTATGTGATGCATCATTTTATACAGCCATACTTCATGTTACGCTCTTTCAGGATACGTTCCGTGGCGACCAGGAAGTACCAGAAAGGGTTACATCTGGGTTTTGCCACTCACGCATGCGCAGATGCGCAAAATGATGTCACGCGCATGCACAGAAGTGGTGAATCGCAACCTGTGCGTGCACAGACGCGCCGCTGCGGGTTGTCCACCAGGTTTCTCTTACGCACAGCAACCCAGGTCATGTGGGCGGGGAGGGGGGGTTGCAGTGATTTTTAGGAAGTCATTAGTTTGCACCGGGCGTCCTGTTGGGAAGACCCAGTTTTCTGAGTGCATGTTCTGGAAGTTGGGCAATAGGGGCAGTACAGGATTCCTTTTGGTGTACCGACCTCCCCGCTGCACCAAGGATTCCCTGCCTGAGCTGCTTCAGGTCGTGGCGGATGTTCTCCTGGAGACACCTAGCTTGGTCGTCCTAGGGGATTTTAACATCCATGCCGACACGACCTTACAAGGGGCCGCTCGGGACTTCGTGGAAAGCATGGCCTCCATGGGGCTGTCCCTGAATAAGTCTGGCCCAACCCATAGCCGTGGACATGCCTTGGACCTGGTGTTTACCTCTATGGATGTTGGTGATCTGACACTAAATAAAAGCGAAACGAAAGAAGTGCCATGGTCAGATCACTTCCTGGTGCAACTGGACTTCTCTGCGACCCATCCCCTCTGCAGGGAGGTGGGACCAATTCGGATGGTCCGCCCCCGCCACTTAATAGATCCAAATGGTTTCCAGAGAGTGGTAGGGGATGCTTTATCCCATGTTGATGGCCTTTCAGCCGATTCCCTGGTGGCCCGCTGGAATGTGGAGTTAACCAGGGCTATTGACTGTTTGGCTCCGAAGCGCCCTCTCCGATTGCATGGAGCCCGGACAGCCCCGTGGTTTTCCACGGATCTGAGGGCAATGAAACAATCGTTGAGACGGCTAGAGCGCCGGTGGCGGAGAACTCATTCCGAATCTGACCGGACACAGGTTAGAGCTCAACGTCGAGCCTACCAAGTGGCGATAGCGACGGCGAAGAAGAATTTCTTCACCGCCTCTATTGCATCTGCAGAAAACAGCAGCAGGAGACTTTTTCAGGTGGTTCACAATTTAGCGGAACCACCTGCAACATCGGGGCCCAGTACGGGCCACATGTTCTCCTGCAATGATTTTGCAAAGTTTTTTGCAGATAAAATCGCTCAGATTCGGGAAGAAGTAGACTCCACCGTGGGAGAAGGGCTGGGGCGGGAGAGTGCTAGAGTTCTGTCTAGTCAAGTTGAGTGGGATCAATTCCAATCTGTTACCTCCGAGGATGTGGACAGGCTGCTTGGACGAGTGAAACCAACCACCTGTCTCCTGGATCCTTGCCCATCCTGGCTTATAAAAGCTAGCCGGGAAGGACTGGGCAATGGGCTTCATGGGGTGGTGAATGCTTCTCTCCGTGAGGGAGCCTTCCCAGACCCGCTGAAAGAGGCGGTTATTAAACCGCTTCTTAAAAAACCATCTTTAGATGCGGCCACGATGGCCAATTATCGCCCAGTCTCAAATCTTCCATTCCTGGGCAAGGTGATTGAGCGAGTGGTTGCCGAACAACTCCAGGCACGCCTGGAAGAAGCGGACCATTTGGATCCCTTCCAGTCGGGATTCAGGCCTCATCATGGGACTGAAACTGCCTTGGTCGCACTGGTTGATGATCTCCGGCGGGCTAGGGACAAAGGTGAGAGCTGTTTCCTAGTTCTGCTGGATCTCTCAGCGGCGTTTGATACCATTGACCATAACATCCTTCTGGACCCTCTTGAGGGGCTGGGAGCTGGGGGCACTGTCATACAGTGGTTCCGCTCCTTCCTCCTGGGCCGTGTTCAGAAAGTGGTGGTGGGGGATGAGTGTTCAGACCCCTGGGCTCTCACTTGTGGGGTGCCTCAAGGTTCTGTCCTCTCCCCCATGCTTTTCAACATTTACATGCAGCCGCTGGGAGAGATCATCAGGAGGTTTGGGATGGGTGTTCATCAGTATGCGGATGATACCCAGCTCTACCTCTCTTTTAAATCAGAACCAGTGAAGGCGGTGAAGGTCCTGTGTGAGTGTCTGGAGGCGGTTGGAGGATGGATGGCGGCTAACAGATTGAGGTTGAATCCTGACAAGACAGAAGTACTGTTTTTGGGGGACAGGAGGCGGGCAGGTGTGGAGGATTCCCTGGTCCTGAATGGGGTAACTGTGCCCCTGAAGGACCAGGTGCGCAGCCTGGGAGTCATTTTGGACTCACAGCTGTCCATGGAGGCACAGGTCAAATCCATGTCCAGGGCAGCTGTTTACCAGCTCCATCTGGTACGTAGGCTGAGACCCTATCTGCCTGCGGATAGGGAGTGGTACATGCTCTGGTTATCTCCCGCTTGGACTACTGCAATGCACTCTACGTGGGGCTACCTTTGAAGGTGACTCGGAAACTACAACTAATCCAGAATGCGGCAGCTAGACTGGTGACTGGGAGCGGCCGCCGAGACCATATAACACCGGTCTTGAAAGACTTGCATTGGCTCCCAGTACGTTTCCGAGCACAATTCAAAGTGTTGGTGCTGACCTTTAAAGCCCTAAACGGCCTCGGTCCAGTATACCTGAAGGAGCGTCTCCACCCCCATCATTCTGCCCGGACGCTGAGGTCCAGCGCCGAGGGCCTTCTGGCGGTTCCCTCATTGCGAGAAGCAAAGCTACAGGGAACCAGGCAGAGGGCCTTCTCGGTAGTGGCGCCCACCCTGTGGAACGCCCTTCCAGCAGATGTCAAAGTGATAAATAACTACCTGACATTCAAGAGACATCTTAAGGCAGCCCTGTTCAGGGAAGTTTTTAACATGTGATATTTTATTGTATTTTTGGTTTTTATGGAAGCCGCCCAGAGTGGCTGGGGAGGCCCAGCCAGATGGGCGGGGTATAAATAATAAATTATTATTATTATTATTATTATTATTATTATTGCGCTCTTGTCATGTTGCGAACGGGCCTCCGGAACGGATCCCGTTCGCAACCAGAGGTACCACTGTACACTCCTATCAGATCAGCTCTTACCTTCCCCCTAAACTTAAAAATAACCCCGATGCTCGCAGGGGGAGTTTCTCCACCCACTCAATCATTCTGGTTGCCTGTACTGGATCTTCTTGGCAACTGGCCATTTAATTTAATAAAACTATGGCCATTGTTGCCAAGCAGTTCAATAAACATCTTGCAGCAGATGGGTGCCGCCCGACTCCAGGGCCACTGCCCCACTGGTCAGCTGCTTGTACTTGGGCACAGTCATTTAGGGTATCTAGAAATTTAACCACTTTATCATGGCTGGAGGGACGCGGGTGGCGCTGTGGGTAAAAGCCTCAGCGCCTAGGGCTTGCTGATCGAAAGGTTGGCGGTTCGAATCCCCGCAGCGGGGTGCACTCCCGTTGTTCGGTCCCAGCGCCTGCCAACCTAGCAGTTCGAAAGCACCCCTGGGTGCAAGTAGATAAATAGGGACCGCTTACTAGTGGGACGGTAAATGGCGTTTCCGTGTGTGGCTCTGGCTCGCCAGAGCAGCGATGTCACGCTGGCCACGTGACCCGGAAGTGTCTCCGGACAGCGCTGGCCCCCGGCCTCTTGAGTGAGATGGGCGCACAACCCTAGAGTCTGTCAAGACTGGCCTGTACGGGCAGGGGTTCCTTTACCTTTACCTATCATGGCTGGAAGATATATAGCCGGCCAGCCTGTAGCTGAAGTCACCCATTGCAACATTTCCTTTTTGTCATGCTTCCTTCATTCTTCTTCGTAAGGGTCTCCCCCCCTGAGCATTTCAATCGGGAGGGCGAGAGCACGTTCTTAGTACCAAGTTGCTTAGCTGGGATCCTTGCAGTGCAGGGGGCTGAATTAGATGACCCTCGAGAAGGGGCTCCCTTCTGATTCTACAATTCTGTGCTCTTGCATCTGTAAGGAAGAGGTGCGCCTAGTGGTCCAGATCGTCGGACGGCTTCGCTCTTACTGCGCACCCTCGCCAACCCAAGAGACAGAGCCTCCCAAGAAGGACCCGAGGAGAGTTAAAAACAAAGGAAGGAGCACACCTCTGTAATTGTAAAACTAGAATTTTGACTATTTAAAACTTTTCACCCAAAATTCAAACACCACATTTGAAAAGGGGGGAGGGAAGGGGGGGGGAAACAGCAACCAAACCAAAGAAACCCACAGCCAAATCTCATCACATGAAGAATCCAGGTTCTTTATACAATACAACTCATGGCGAGAACGTCTTACTAGAATTTGTCACAGCAGTCTGTCTGAAACAACAGATCCAAAGGGGATGGGGGGGGGGAAATCACCCCAACGCAAAATACTGTTGTGTGTTTTTTTAAAAAAATGCAATATAAATAACTTCTCTTTTTAAAAAAGTAACAAAAACCCACAGAAATGAATCAGTAGTCATTCTCACAGGGAGGGGAGCAAGACCCCCATTCCTAAACCTCCAGTCATATAAAAATCTTCAAGCTACAAGGAGGCAGGATACATGGGGGGGGGGGGGACAGGAACGAGGGAGTGGCTCTGGGGCCAGTTCTGTGGGACAGGGCGAGGCTTCTCTGCCAGGGCCTGTGGTTAAAATTCCAGTCCTGCGTCTCAGGAAACTGGGGAAAAGATATAGTGTTATGTGGGATTTGGGAAGGCTGAGAGTTTATCACCCTCCACCTTGAAAGGATGAGATTTGAAGTCTTTTCCCCCTGCAGGGAAAGTGTAGTGTTTGTGCATCTGTGTTAGTGCCATAAAAAATAGTTTCTTTCCCCCCTGTGTGCATGGGGGAAACCAGTTCCTAGAGCGGAGGCAGCAGACGGCTGTGAGAAGAGGGGAATTGAGCACTCAGGAGCCAGAGATTCTAGGGCTGCCACCTCCTTCCATTTGTCAGCAAGCTACCAGGAGATGAACGGTCCGTGGGGTGGCTCAGATTTAAAGCTGCAGTATATAGAGTTACAAAAAGAATTGTTCCCGGAGGTGGGACAACCCAGCTTCCCGGAAAGGGGTTGGAGCGGTGATGCCAAGTCACAAGGGCTGGGGAGTTGGGTCCTGGCTGCAGGAAGCGGCTCGAGTGGTCGCTAGGCCCTCGAAGACCAGCCTGTTCTGAGGTTCAAAGCCGAGAAAGCCTTCGAGGAAAGCCCCTGGGCTTTGTCGCAGGACAGAGCAGATCCACAAATGCAGCGCTGGGTGAAGCCTTTGCCTGCAGGCAAACGCCAGGTGCGCTAGGAAGGGAGGTCCAGGTCGGTAGCAAGCAAGGGTTCCTCTAGAGATTGGAAGAGATGAAACACTGTCCAGTTTTGAGAAGAAAAGCACCAGAAGAAGGAAGCAAACAGGGCAAGGGGACGTCCTGCGGAATATCTGCATTGCAGGCCAACAGCATCGGCGGAGAGGGGCTCAGTCCTGGACCCTTGCAGGAATTCTGCCCTGCGTGGACCAAGGCTGGCTCTTTCTCACCTGCAAATCCCTCCTAAAATATGCCAGTTTGCACCTGGCTAATACCAGTGGAGATGAGGAGTGGAACCCACAGGATTTTAAAAACCAAACACCTGGGTTTCCCCCCTTAGAGTGGTTGCAACTGACAGCAAATTTGCGGCAAAAGCAGCAACCGGCGGATCCTGGTTTCGTGGAGGGGCACGTGAGAAATATTTGCCCTTTGAGCCCTAGGAGGGGCGTCAGAAAGCGGGGTGCTTCCTTCCCGCCCCCGAAAAGCGTCTCCAGGGCAAATGTGATGCATAACCTATACCCGTAAGAACCTAAATTCAGGAAGCAAGAAAGTCCCCCAAACTCTTGAAGAAGAAAACCCCCGCAAAACCCTTCCCCTGTAACTCTGCATGCAGAAAAGCCCATCCTGTATGTACAAGCATGCAAGGATGGGGTGCCTTGTGTGGCATGGAGGGGGGTGGAGACCTCTGGAGGCCAGCTCTGTTCCTCAAGGCAGCTGCACCTACTTTACAAAGGGGAGGGACATCTGCCTGCTCCCCTCCCCTCACACCAGGGGACTCCCGGTGTCTCCTAGGCCCCCAAGCAAGCCTCCCTTCCAGAAAGCGCTGTGAATGCCACACCCTTCCCCACTCTCCTGCCATGGGGGGCTCAAGCCCTCTCCAACCCAGAGGGAAGGACGGACCTGAGCTTCCGATCCAACCCAGGGCTAGCAAACCCAGCGGCCTTCATCTCTCAAGCTGCTGTCCCGCCCCTGACATTCCTGCCTTGCCCATGCCACAAGATGGCACACAGGGACATGTCGGGAGCAAAGGGGGCGGCCTCCGGCCTTTGCTGCTGCTTCCCAACAACTGGCAAGGCAGACACACCCCCCCCCAAAAAAAGCCAACAATGCAAGAGCTTAGGGAAGTGCCACTTTGCAAGCTCGTACTGGCCTCTATTTTAAAGACTAGGAACGTAGGAGCAGTGATCTCCCTATCTCCTCCCCCCCCCCAGCCTAGCAATAAGCTGGGGTGGGGGGCAATGACAGGAGAGGCCCTGTTGCTGGTATCCCACTGCTTGTTCAGCCGGAGGGGAGCAAACGACAGAGCATCACAACCACGGAGGGGTTCAGTCTCACAGAGAAACGCCCAGGAAGTTCATTTGCTCTTCTTGCTCCCTTTTCTTCCTGCCTAACACTGCTTCCTAGGCTATGCTCAAGGTTTGCAGGTTTCCAGGTCTGGTGAGGAACACCAAGAGGCGCGCAGCTGCCTGACCCCAGGAGCCCCACGTCACACTTCTGACATTGCGGGCGGCAGACGAAGTCACCCTCCAAGCTGAGCGTCACCAGCCACAAAGGAGAAGTCCAGAGGAAGCCTCCCCGCTGCGAGACAGGACAAAAAATAAAACCAGAACAAGGCCTGTTCTTGGCACACCCTAGGCCAAGAGCAGAACAAAGCCCACAAGGGGGACTTCCATAAATCCAGCCTGCCCTCCAGGCCGAAGGAACTTGCTAGTCGCAGTTTTGCCTGGGGTGGGGAGTACAAAGCTCAAGAGCAAGCGGAGGGGCAACGGCTGCCACTATCGAAGGCAGGAAGCAAGCTCAGCGCGGCAACGTCAGGCGGGGAGAAAGAGCAAAAGGGAAAGAGAAGACAAGACGGGGGGGGGAGGGGCCAGGGCAGCTCTATCCTGGCCAAGCGGCGACAAGAGGCGCAGAGACCAGGGACGAAGAGGCAGGCTTGCGATTAAAAGCAGCCTTCCCGGGTCAGGATCCCCCGTGACGACTGCAGTTCCTGCCTGAGCAGCGGGAGACGTGGGTTGGGGAAGAAGCTCAGGAAGGGCACAACCCCTGTGAAGAGGGACCGTTTTAAAAACGAGAGAACCGGGCCTGAAACTCTTTAACTGGCAGTTAAGAGCACGGAGGAAATTATGGAGGGAGGTTTTTCTTTTCTAAAAAAATAAAAGGACTGCTTTGCAGAGCTGAGAGTCTTGTTTGCCTGAGAATGGGAGCCCCTGAGAAAACCCACCTCGCTTCCTTCCCTTCCTCTCCAATACCAAGAGACGCAGTGTTTCTCCCCAGTTTGAAAATCCGAGGCAGGTTTGGCTCTTGGGGGGCAGGGAAAGGATTCTTCAGGGAGGGGGAGAGGCAACCATGGCTCAGCTGAAGTCCCCAGAAATCTGACCGGACTGTGGGGAGAGGGGCTTCCCTGCCCCCCCTCTCTGGGACACTTCTTGCCAATGGCCCCCGCCACCTCTGTCCTCTGGCTATCCGAGAGGAAAGACGTGCTACCAAGAAGAATGAGAGAGGGGTCTCGGAAACCACGGACTGGAGAGGGGTTGCGTTTCGAGCTCTCCCCTACCCACCCAAATCGCCACTGCCCCAGACTTGTGTGATATGAACAGCTAAACAGCAATCGGGAATTGTTACAGTCTTTTGTTAAAAAAAAGCAACCCCCGCCCTTCCAGGGCACTAAACCCTGCTCTGAGCTCAGTAGTACGGAAGTGTGGCGCAGAGAGGGCGCCCTCCTCGCCGGAGGTGGGACTTGTTCGTGGGACTTGTGTCTCCAGCATCAGTGGCGGACGTAGAGGAGTCCCTCAAGGGAGGGTTGGCCTGAGGGTGGAACGAGGAGGTGACACGTCTCCCTGGCCACAGAGGAAGGAAGAGAAGCCCCCTCTTTCAGCAGGGAGATGCCACGGGGTTCCCGTTGTCCCTGGAGGGGCTCCAGCTGCCGTTGGGGTGTGGTGGGGGGTTCGCCAGGGACGACGGAGGTGTCTTCTCTCTCTCGCTCTTTGGTAAGATGGTCCAGTTTCTGCCGCCTCTTTCATCTCATCCGGTTCTGCCTCATCAGGGGCACGATGCAGGAAGGGGGGCCGGCTTTCCCCAGAAAGGGGTGCTTCAAGAGTTCGTTGGCGGTGGCTCGCTGGGCTGGGTCCCTGACCAGCAGGCGGTCAAGGAAGCCCTTCAGGGAGGGAGAGACCTGCGGAGAAAGGAGGGGCATGAGCCGCATTTGGTGCAGAAGGGTAAGAAGGGCACAAACAGGAAGGGGGAGCACCTGCAGTCGGAATTGCAGTGGTACCTCCGGTTACATACGCTTCAGGTTAAGAACTTTGCTTCAGGTTGAGAACAGAAATTGCGCTCCGGCGGCACGGCAGCATCAGGAGGCCCCATTAGCTGCTTCAGGTTAAGAACAGTTTCAGGTTAAGTACGGACCTCCGGAACGAATTCAGTACTTAACCCGAGGTACCACTGTATATGCTTCAATGGAGGCATGCTTTTCCTCTAAGAATATGGCTTATTTTCTATGCACATGTAAAGTTAAGCTGGGGGAGGGGGATGCCTCTATACAAGCCAAATAATAATAATAATAATAATAATTTATTATTTATACCCCACCCATCTGGTTGGGTTTCCCTAGCCACTCTGGGCGGCTTCCAACATAACACTAAAATACATTAACCTATTAAACATTAAAAGTTTCCCTAAACAGGGCTGCCTTCAGATGTCTTCTAAAAGTCTGGTAGTTGTTGTTCTCTTTGACATCTGGTGGGAGGGCGTTCCACAGGGCGGGTGCCACCACCAAGAAGGCCCTCTGCCTGGTTCCCTGTAACTTGGCTTCTCACAGGGAGGGAGCTGCCAGAAAGGCCTCAGCGCTGGACCTCAGTGTCCAGGCAGAACAATGGAGGTGGAGACGCTCCTTCAGGTCCTTATTTAATCCCCGCAACAACCCTGTGAGGTACGTTAGGCTGAACGAGGCAGTGACTGGCTGAAGGTCACCCAGTGAGCTTCATCCTCGCTGAGTGGGGATTCAAACCCTGGTCTCTCCCAGGTCCTAGCCCAGCTCTCTAACCACTCAAATCCCTTGCAGGGGCGCAATTAGTGCCAGCGCCTTCGTCAAGAGTTTGGGTGTAATCTTCGACGCCTCCCTTTCTATGAAGGTGCAGGTTACAGCTACAACAAAGGTGGCATTTTTTCATCTCCGCCGAGCTAAGCCAGTTGGTCCCTTATCTCTCTCGCCCTGACCTCACCACTATGATCCCCATGTGACGGTCACCTCCAGGCTTGATTATTGTAACTCACTCTATGTGGGGCTGCCCTTGAAACGGACCCAGAAACTCCAGTGGGTACAGAATTCTGCGGCGAGACTCCTCATGAGGTCCTTGCCACAGGAGCGCATTCATCCAGTGCTATACCAGCTGCACTGGCTCCCGGTGGAGTGCAGGATCAGATTTAAGGTGCTGGTTTTAACCTTTAAAGCCCAAACAGCCTAGGACCCTCATACCTACGGGACTGCCTCTCCTGGTATGCCCCATGGAGGACCTTAAGGTCTGCAAATAATAACACCCTGAAGATCCCAGGCCCCAGGGAGATTAGACTGGCCTCGACCAGAGCCAGGGCCTTTTCGGCCGTGGCCCTGGCCTGGTGGAACGCTCTCTCACAAGAGATCAGGGCCCTGCGGGATTTGACATCTTTCCGCAGGGCCTGCAAGACGAAGCTGTTCTGCCAGGTCTTTGGTCGGGGTTCAGTCTGATTCTTTTCTTTCTGTATAAGAACAAGCATTAAAGAGGCCTCCTAGTCTGCTCACAGGTCCTTTATAAGACCAGTAGTAACAGTCGGCCCTAGAGAATATTAACCACTCTCAATTTTACCCATGGACGACCATCTGTCCAGATTTTAACTTCCTCTGAACTAATTTTAAGATATATTTTAAGTAACTGATTGCCTGTTTTTATGTTCTTATGTTCTTTGTATGCATGTTAGTTTTATGATGTTAGCCGCCGTGAGCCCAGCTCCGGCCGGGGAGGGCGGGGTATAATCATCATCATCACCACCACCACCACACTGGCTCTATAACCCCATCATCATCATCATCATCATCATCATCACCACCACACTGGCTCTCTAACCCAAATGGCTCAGCACTGCTTCTTGCGCACCCAGACCCTGTGATTCTCATCCTTAGAGGCCCAACATCAAATTCCGGTCCTGAATCTGATCCTTCTAAGGTGGGGAAGTCAAGCGAGGAAAAGTAAGAGAGAAGGAAAAGGAGTCTCTTACCTTGTGCACGTTTTTGAGTTTGGGGGGCAGGTTGTCCCGGATCATCTTCATGGCCTTCAAAGGGGGCTCGTTGAAATAAGGGGGCTCCCCATCCACCATTTCTATCACCATCACGCCGAGGGACCAGATGTCCACCTGAAACAGAAGGAGGGGGGAGGGGGGAGAGGGGAATTGAGAAAGGGGAGCAAAAGGTGCCCCTGCCTCCCCCTCCCCAGCCTGGACAGTTTTGTAACTGGTTTGCAAAATGGGGGCCCTACTGGACTAGCAAGTCTGCCCGGCAGCAGGCTTTTCGTTCCATTTGGATTTTACAGCTTCCCTCTCCCTGAAAGCTCAGGATGGATGACGGAGGCAATATATATATATATATGTATCTGCTGATTAGAGAAAATGACAACTTCATCAAAACCACATAAATGACCACTTGACTGCTTTGATCAGTGGAATGTGGCGGTGCATACCCTCTGGAACTCCCTGCCTCTTGATATCAGGCAAGCACCTTCACTGCATTCTTTCGGCATGTGCTGAAAACATTTCTGTTTAGGCAAAGCCGGAGGTTTAGGAAGTTGAAGCCCTCTTACCTCCGGCCCATAGGGCAACCGGGAGATGAGCTCTGGCGCCATCCAGTAAGGGGTGCCAACCAGGGACTTGCGCCGCGGAACCTCCTTGTTCACTTGCGCACAGAACCCGAAGTCGGAGAGTTTGACCTGGAACGGAGAGCCAAGCGAAGGAAGCATGTCAGTGGCTGGAGTAGGCTCAGGGTGAGTTTGCTCACGAGGTCTGCTGCGGGAAGCATCTTTCCAGCCTTCGCAGTGCAGATCAGCAATATTCCGTTTTTTAAAAGACGTGACGAGAGGCGGACAAACTCCCACAAATATATGGATTTGCCTTATCGCGATGCATCACCCCTCTGGTCAGCCTAGCCCAGTTCTCTCTATTTTGACAAGCGGCAAGCGGCCAATCCTGGCTACCAGATGTCCTTTGAAGCTGGAGATGGCAACGAGTGAACCAAGGACTTTTATTCCGTGTGCCAAGTTTGCGTTCTGCCATTGAGCGATTCCCCCGATTCCCCCACCCCATTAATGTGGGGCTCAATTCCATACTGAGTCTAAACCTCAGTTCAAGGGCCTAACATGCCCCACTCCTAAGCCAGTGGTTCCCAAACTTTTTGGGTCCACAGCCCCCATCTCGGTTATAATAATGATTATTTATTGTTTATACCCTGCCCATCTGGTTGGGTTTCCCCAGCCATAAACTCAACCCAGGTTCCTCCTCCCTTACCCTATAAAAAGCATTATTCAGAAGAGCAGTTTGCACGACCCACTAAGGAAGATAGTAACACAGTAAAAATCGAAACAGTAATTGAGCATTTATTCAAAACCCAATTAAATCTATTTTGTTTGATTAATTCAACAAAATGGATGAGCTTGGTTGATCCTAGGATAGCAGCTTTTCAAAATCTGATAGTCATTTACATTTTCAACGCCCCCATGCTGACCCCTTGCCTCTTAGCACCCCACTAGGGAATCCCACTTCCCCACCCGGTAGGGTACCACCTACTTTGGGAACCACTGATCTAGACCCAAGCATGCTGTCATCCTGAAACTGTTTTGGGGCACTTCATTGCTCAACCCTAGAAACACTCTGGTTCAGAGACGTGTGGAATCCGTGGGTTAAAGAGACTTTGATTTCTTCACAACAGTGCAGGAGCCCATGAAAAGTTGCTGCGTGTACAGGTACAATAAAAGGTAAAGGTAAAGGGACCCCTGACCATTAGGTCCAGTCGCGGACGACTCTGGGGTTGCGGTGTTCATCTCGCTTTACTGGCCGAGGGAGCCGGCGTACAGCTTCTGGGTCATGTGGCCAGCATGACTAAACAGCTTCTGGCGAACCAGAGCAGCGCACGGAAACGCTGTTTACCTTCCCGCTGGAGTGGTACCTATTTATCTACTTGCACTGGCATGCTTTTAAACTGCTAGGTGGGCAGGAGAAGGGACCGAGCAACGGGAGCTCACCCCGTCATAGGGATTCGAACTGCCGACCTTCTGATCGGCAAGTCCTAGGCTCTGTGGTTTAACCCACAGTGCCACCCACGTCCCACAAGTACAATACAATTTTTAAAAAAAATATTGGCAGAAATTGCAAACCATTATTGAACATAGTTACAGATAGGTAGCCGTGTTGGTCTGCCATAGTCAAAACAAAAAAAATTCCTTCCAGTAGCACCTTAAAGACCAACTAAGTTAGTTCTTGGTATGAGCTTTCGTGTGCATGCACACTTCTTCAGATACACTGTATCTGAATAATACAGTGTGTATCTGAAGAAGTGTGCATGCACATGAAAGCTCATACCAAGAACTAACTTAGTTGGTCTTTAAGGTGCTACTGGAAGGAATTTTTTTTTTGTTTTCATTATTGAACATAATTGCTTTGGGACTTCCAGGGGAGAGAAGACAGAAGAAGCAACTGAGAATCCAGAGGGTGCTATAAAAAATTCTGCCTTCTCACAAGTCTGAATATGGTGAGAAGTGAGGTTACAGGGAACCAGGCAGAGGGCCTTCTCGGTGGTGGCACCCACCCTGTGGAACGCCCTCCCTTCAGATGTGAAGGAAATAAGCAGCTATCCTATCTTTAAAAGACATCTGAAGGCAGCCCTGTTTAGGGAAGTTTTTAATATTTAATGCTGTATTGTTTTTAACACTTGATTGGGAGCTGCCCAGAGTGGCTGGGGAAACTCAACCGGATGGGCGGGGTATAAATATATTATTACTATTACTATTATTACTAGGGTTTCAACTAAACATTAGGAAGAACTTTTTGACAGTGAGAGCTGGCTGACAGTGGAACGGACTCCCTCAGAAAGTGGTGGACTCTCTTTCGTTGGAGGTTGCGTATGATTTAATTGAGATTCCTGCAGTGCATTGAGGTTGGGCTAGATGGCCCTTGGGGTCCCCTCCAACTCTATGTTTTTAAGTTCTCCTCAGAAGTCTTGGGGCCGCCTGACACCACTGAAGAGTCACCTCCAGGTGGCACTGCAGGACCAGGCAATTTCAGCAAGAGGTGAACAGGGGCAGGGACATTATTTTACTCCAGGGGTCAGCAACCTTTTTGAGCTGTGGGCCGGTCCACCGTCCCTCAGACCTTGTTGGGGGGGGGGCGGAGTATATTTTGAAAAAAATAATGAACAAATTCCTATGGACCAGAAATAACCCAGAGATGCATTTTAAATAAAAGCACACATTCAACTCATTCAATGTAATGTAAAAATACGCTGATTCCTGGACTGTCCGCAGGCTGGATTGAGAAGGCGATTGGGCCGCATCCAGCCCCCGGGCCTTAGGTTGCCTACACCTGTTTTACTCTGTTTAGGGAAGCTTTCAATGTTTGATGTATTACAGTATTTTAATTTTTTTTGGAAGCCGCCCAGAGTGGCTGGGGAAGCCCAGGCAGATGGGTGGGGTATAAATAATTGTTACAGTGGTGCCCCGCAAGACGAACGCCTCGCAAGATGGAAAACCCGCTAGACGAAAGGGTTTTCCGTTTTGGAGGCGCTTCGCAAAACGAATTTCCCTATGGGCTTCCTTCGCAAGACGAAAGCCCATAGGGAAATCTCAGGGACAGCGGGGAAGCGCAGCGCGTCTTCCCCACTGTCCTCGGACCTCCTCCCACCGCCAGGCTTCGGAAGGCTGCTCCGAAGCCTGGCGGGGGGGGGGGCGGAGAGACCTTCTCCCCGCGCCAGGTTTCAGAAGGCTGCTCCGAAGCCTGGCGGGGGGGGGGCGGAGACCTCCTCCCGCCGCGAGGCTTTGGAGCAGCCTTCCGAAGCCTGGCGGGGGGCGGAGAGGTTTTTTTAAAACCCCGGGACAGCGGGGGACTTCTCCGCTGTCCGGGGCGATTTTAAAATGCTGCCGGGCGGCAGCGTTTCTCCGCTCTCCCGGGAAGGCAGGCAGGGAGGAGCAAAGCCTTTTGCCCCCCGCCCGCCTTCAGAAGAGGTCCAGGACTTTGCTCCTCCCTGCCTGCCTTCCCGGGAGAGCGGAGAAACGCAGTGCGTTTCTCTGCTGTCCCGGAGAGCTTTTGAAGGCAGGCGGGGGGGGGAGCAAAGACTTTCGCCCCCCGCCCGCCTTCAGAAGAGGTCCTGGACCTCTTCTGAAGGCTGGTGGGGGGCAAGAGTCTTTGTCCCCCCTGCCTGCCTTCCCAGGGGCTTTTAAATCGCCCCGGACAGCGGAGAAGTCCTCCGCTGTCCCGGGGCGATCTTAAAATGCCGCCCGCCAGCATTTTAAGATCGCCCCGGACAGCGGAGAAGCCCTCCGCTGTCCCGGGGTTTTTAAAAATGCTGGGGGTGGGAAGAAAAGCCCTTGTCCCCCCCCCCCAGCCTTCAGAAGAGGTCGGGGGACAGACTGTCCCCGGACCTGGTCTGAAGTCGGTTTCCATAGGAACGCATTAATTGATTTTCAATGCATTCCTATGGGAAACCGTGCTTCGCAAGACGAAAAACTCGCAAGAAGAAAAAACTTGCGGAACGAATTAATTTCGTCTTGCGAGGCACCACTCTATTATTATTATTACTCCTTTGTTTCTACCCCCACACCTATCAGCCAATCACCCATTCCCACCACCCTTCTGAGTAATACCCCTCCCCACCCTCTCACTATATATCAGGGTCTGGTGACTTCTGTTTCAGTGTATCTGAAGAAGTGTGCATGCACACGAAAGCTCATACCAAGAACTAACTTAGTTGGTCTTTAAGGTGCTACTGGAAGGAATTATTTTATTTTGCCAGAAAGTTCTGCCTGATGTTTAGTTGGCATCTCCTCCTACGTTTTCCTTGAGCTTAAAATCAGCACCTGGGACCACGTGCAACTCACCCGGCCGTCGTGTGTGAGCAGAATGGAGTCACTCTTGATATCTCGGTGGATGACACCCTGGGCATGGAGGACGGAGAGCGCCTTGAGGACAGACAGACAGACGGCCGCAATCTGCTCCTCGTTCATCCTGAAAAGGGAGTAAGAACACAGCACCTGTTAAAAGAGCAGCCTGGCAGGTTCAGACCTCGGTGGGCTCACCTTGCCCACAGCTTCTAGAGGTCAACCGGATCCCCTTCTGGGAAGCCCACTATCAGGGCATCAAGGCGACAACCTTTCGCCCATCCTTGTTTCCCCAAGCGGCAAAAATTCTGAGTCAGGCGCCTTCTGGACATAAGAGTGCGTCCCATTTAGCTAAGATGGCAAATAGCCAGTGATAGCCTTCTCCCTCCTGCTCCTTCACAGATTTATGAAGCTGCCTTTTAAAGTCACCTAAGCCAGGGACGCGGGTGGCGCTGTGGGTTAAACCACAGAGCCTAGGGCTTGCCGATCAGAAGGTCGGCAGTTCGAATCCCTGCAAAAGGGTAGGCTCCCATTGCTCGGTCCCTGCTCCTGCCAACCTAGCAGTCCAAAAGCACGTCAAAGTGCAAGTAGACCAAAAAAAAAAAAAAGGTACCGCTCCGGCGAGAAGGTAAATGGCGTTTCCGTGCGCTGCTCTGGTTTCACCAGAAGCGGTTTAGTCATGCTGGCCACAGGACCCGGAAGTTGTATGCCAGCTCCCTCGGCCAGTAAAGCGAGATGAGCGCCGCAACCCCAGAGTCGGCCACGACTGGACCTAATGGTCAGGGGTCCCTTTACCTTTACCTTTAAGCCAGCAGCCCTCATCACATTCCGTGGCATGAATCTATTCTGTGCTGTGTGAGGGACTCTCTGTGGCCTGTCCCAAACCCAAGTTCTGGCATTTGGAGAGAGTGAGAAAAACCTCCCATTGTTTTCCTTTTAAAGAGGAGTTGGTGATGTAAAAACTTTGGTTCGTCTTCCTGTCTCTCCAAGACATCCCTTTCTGTGACCAACCAGGTGCCTGTGGGAAACCTGTAGGCAGGATTCGACCAACAAGAGCCTTCTTCCCTCCTGGGGTTTCCTGCAACTGGGATTCGGATGCACTGCTGCCTCCGACAGCCATCCTGGCTAGCAGCCATCAAGAGCCATCTCCTCCATGAATCTGTCTTATCCTCTTTTAAAGTTCCACTTTCTCAAATATTCACTCATCTGGTTTCTACCTTTGTTTTCCTAAGGTTCATCTTTGGGCAAAAATTGGCCAACATCTGAATCTACAGGCTGCTCTCTGCATAGCTGCTCTTTTCGATAATCTGCTTCAATTATACCTTTTGACATTTCATACCGAGATAATTTTTCCTTTAAAAACATAACCATTAGGGGGGAAAGTTATGTATTTTAACAGTCATTCTGTGCAGGCTGAAATTCTATACGCAGTTAACTAGGAGAAAGATGTGGGAGTGAGTTCCACAGTTTAACTAGGGGCTGGGTGAATGAGGACTTCCTTTTATGTGTCCTGAATCTTCCACTATTCAGCTCCATTGCGCGTCCACAAGTTCTGGACATCCGGCAGGAGCCAGCCCCGAGGTCAGAGAGAGAGCCATCTTCTGAAGCTCTGCTCCCAGCTGGAGTAGAAAAGGGACTGCGTCCCAGTTCCAACTCAGCCACAAGGGACTGCCTTTCAAGCGAAGAAAGAGCAAGGTCAGGCCATTGTGGAGCACTTAAAAACAAACACTTCTTTCCCTGCCCACGCTGCAAAGCTTCGAAAATGCTTCTTTTCCCCAAAGGCCTTTACATCAACACATGCACACTCCTGGCTTCTCTTAGCTGGTCACAAAAGTCAGTGTACGCCCGGCCGGCCGCTGTTGGGAGAACGAGGCTCTCAGTCCAGCAGGGCTGGGCAATATCTGGTTTTCAACATTATGATATATAATCAGCTAAACATCGCGATATACCAGGGGTCTGCAACCTTTAAGACAAAAAGAGCCACTTGGACCCATTTCCGAAGGGGGAAAAAACTGGGAGCCGCAAAACCATTGCGACATTTAAAACAAATATATCTCCGGAGCCGCGATCTGACAGCGGGCGGGAAGGTGACGTCGGGACGGTGTGTGACTAACGCACGCACCGCCCCCATGCGACGTCACAGCCAGTACAGCACCCGCCACAGTGGGGAGTGTCGGGGCGCACAATGCGCCTCCTCCCCTCGCTAGTATCCGCCCCGGAGCCACGGCAAAGGTGTAAAAGAGCCACATGCGGCTCCGGAGCCGTGGGTTGCAGACCCCTGCGATATACCGATATATCACAATGTCTGAAATAAGGACGGCGCTATGTAGAGACATTGGCTGGCTTCACGGTTTTCCCCGCATTGTGATTTTTGCATAGCGCACACAAACACACACATGCCGTGATTTGCACGATACACTACCAGGTCAAAAATTATGAAACCAATATCATGATATGGACTTCAAACTGGTTTGGGACGATATATAGATATATCACCCAGCTCTACTGTCCAGGTGGACTCAAGAAAAACCCTGTAAGGAAAATGGGTAAAACAGCAGCAGAGTCCCAGGAGAGAAGGGGTTCAAGACTGCCGCTCCCCATACCTTGTGTGTGTGACAATGTCTGTCAAAGCGCCTCCTTCCAGGAACTCCATGACGACCCATAGCTCATCGCCCACCAGGTAGCTGTTGTACATCTCCACCACATTCTCGTGCTGATAGTCTCTCATGATCACGACCTGAAAGGGGGGGAAATGGACAGTGGCAGCTGAGAGGGAGGAAGACCCGTTGGATAAGGACCCAAAAAGTGCCTGCTGGATGAGGCCATCTAACCCAGCATCCAGTTTTCGCAGTCGCCAACCAGGTGCCCCAAAGACAAACTCGCAAGTAGGATCCGAGCACAAAAGCAACTCTCCCCTCCTGCGCCTAAAGTAACAAGTCAAAATAACAGCAAACTAAGAACAGATTTAGGGATGCGGGTGGCGCTGTGGGCTAAACCACAGAGCCTAGGGCTTGCCGATCAAAAGGTCGGCAGTTCGAATCCCCGCGATGGGGTGAGCTCCCGTTGCTCGGTCCCTGCTCCTGCCAACCTAGCAGTTCGAAAGCATGGCAAAGTGCAAGTAGATAAATAGGTACCACTCTGGTGGGAAGGTAAACAGCGTTTCTGTGCGCTGCTCTGGTTCGCCAGAAGCGGCTTAGTCATGCTGGCCACATGACCCAGAAGCTGTACGCCGGCTCCCTCGGCCAATAAAGCGAGATGAGTGCCGCAGCCCCAGAGTCGGCCACGACTGGACCTAATGGTCAGGGGTCCCTTTATCTTTACCTTTAAGAACAGATTAACACTCACATCAACTTCCGAAATGTCTGGGCAGGCTTGTCAAAGCAAAAATATTTTTAATAAGTGCCCAAAAAGGTACAGTGAAGGCAGGGAGTTCCAAAGTGTAAGTGCTGCCATGTCAAAATATGGAACGGGTGTTACATGGCACCAGTGCTTTTTTTCTGGGGGGACGCAGGGGTAGGCATACCCCTAAACATTTTGTGAATCTACGTTTGGCTTCATTGAGGGGCAGTATTTCAATATGAGTAGGAAAATGAGAGCACCCCTAAACATATTTTTTTTTAGGGGGGAAAGCACTGCACGGCACCTGGAAGAGTGCCAGTTCCACAGAGCAGTCGAAGGGGGCGAGGCGATCTCTCGGGTGAACTGGTCCCAAGTTGTGAAGACTTGGGTGCCCGGCTGTTGCTGGACTACAACTCCCATCATCCCCGACTGCTGGTCCTGCTAGCTAGGGATGATGGGAGCTGCAGTGCAACAGCAGCCGGAGACCCAAGTTTGAGAAAGGCTGTGTTAAGGGCTTTCGGTGGCGCTGTGGGTTAAACCACAGATCCTAGGACTTGCCGATCAGAAGGTCGGCGGTTTGAATCCCCGCAACGGGGTGAGCGCCATAGCTCCTGCCCACCTAGCAGTTCAAAAGCACCTCAAAGTGCAAGTAGATAAATAGGTACCCCTCTGGCGGGAAGGTAAACGGCGTTTCCGTGCGCTGCTCTGGCTCGCCAGAAGCGGCTTAGTCCTGCTGGCCACATGACCCGGAAGCTGTACGCCTGCTCCCTCGGCCAGTAAAGGGAGATGAGCGCCACAACACCAGAGTTGGTCACGACTGGACCTAATGGTACCCTTTTTATACTAGCCGCCTCTGCTGCCAGGACACCCCACACTATACCCTTTGGGGAAGGGGAACACCATTCTCAACACACACAGGGGAAGAAGAAGAGGAAGCGAGGCTACGGAGCGGGGACCTTCCTCCACCCCACCTCCCGGCCCCTCACCTCGTTGAAGAGCAGCTCCCGCCGCTGCTGCTTGCGCAGGTCCATCTTCTTGACGGCCACCAGCTTCCCGGAGCTCTTGATGGTGGCGATGCAGACGATGCCGGTGGACCCCTCCCCGATCTTGATGAAGTTGTCCAGGTAGGTCCTGGGGTCGCCCGGGTCCACCACCATCTGCAAGGCGGCCCGGAACTGTTCGTGGGAGACCCGCTGGGGCTCTCGCTGCGGGGAGCGGGGCTGCTGCGGGGCCGGGGGAGGGTGGCCCGGGGGCTGCGGGGGCGGGTGCTGGGGAGGGGGCAGCTGAGAGTAGGGCGGCTGGTGGGCGGGCGGCGGGACGTGCGTCAAGTGGGGGTCCGAGGCATGCTGGGAGAGTCCTGGGTGGGGCGGCTCTGGGTTCCGGGATCTCGTTGGGACCGATGGTGGGGGCCTGGAGGAGCTGCTGTTGCCACTTATGGGGCCGTTGGAGGCTGTTTCTTGGGGTTTCCCAGGCCTGTGCTCTGCCTAAAAGAAGCAGGGGTGGGTGGGGTGAAATGGTTACATCAGTAACTGGGAAGGACGGAAAAGATCAGAGAACCATACAACTGTAGACTTATAAGAGACCAGGAGGGTCATCTAGTTAGTCCAACCCCTAGCAGTGTCTACTTTCAGGCAAGTGTGGAAGGGCTGACGATCCCCTCAGACTACTCACTACAAAGGGAAGGGGGCAGAGAAGGTCACACTCCAGCTGCCCGGTTGCCAAGGAACCCTCAACTGGAGCACTGAGTGCCAGAAACCAATACGGTGATGTTGGTGCCTTAGGACTTGAGATTCACCAGCAACAGTTCCAATAATATGTGGAGTACGGATCTCGCCAAAACAGGTCATGTGTTCTGAAACCCCCACCCGCCCCAGAATGAGCAGCGCCCTCCAACCTTGGGTCCCCAGATGTTGCCAACTACAACTCCCATCATCCCTGACCATTAGCTAAACTGGGTGGGGGGGTGATAGGTTTTGTAGTCCAACAATACCTGGGCACCCGACAGTTGAAGAGCACTGATGGAGAGAGATTTGTGGGTAGCTCTTGCGGTCTAATATGGAGTAAGAGGCTGCTGATCCATTCAGCCCAGGGCCGTCTTCTCTGCCCAACAGCAGAATCGTAGAATTGTAGAGTTGGAAGGGACCCATAGAGTCATCTAGTCCAACCCCCTGCAATTCAGTAACGCCTCAAGAGACCCAGACACACAGAGGTGTCTCCCAGCCCTTTTAACCTATGCCATAAGAAAGTAAAAGCAGCCTGCTTGATCAGACTAGAGTTACACCTAGCCCTGCATTTTCCTCCCCCCAGTGTCGAAACAGATGCCCTCTGGAAAGCCCACGAACCAGGTTCTCTTTTAACTGGAGATGGCAGAGCTGCATCTGTCCTCTGTAGCTCATCTCTCCTGTTGCCCGTGGCAGAGTTATGCCCAGAACACAAACACACACATACGCACACGGCAGGAAAGCGGCAGGACCCCCTGCTAGATTAGCACAAAGGACAGGAACCGAGGCGGAGATGATAGTGGTTAGCTAGACGCAAAAGAAAGTTGAAGCTAAGGATGGCGGTGCCCTTGGAGGAAGAGGAAGAGGAGGAAGAAGAGTGGCAGAGGTGGAAGAAAAAAGGGTTGAGACACATGACAGTTCCACGGTAGATTCCCTCGCGATGGAGGCTTGCGGCACCCACAGCGCAGTATTGCTGCAGCGTTTCCACAGAGAGAGAGACAGAGTCACTGTGCAGGAGGCCGTGGGGCTGCGGAGGGCGGTTAGAGAAAGGCACACGGAGGGAGAAGAGCAGAGAGAGGAGCGTTTCCTTCAGAAGGTGGGCAGCACCAGAGCAGCTCAGGTTAGTGGGAGCAAGGGCTGTGACAGCAGAGGAGAAGAAAGGCAGGAGAGACACCCAGACGTTGCAGGAAGACAGCGGGTTGCAAAGCGAGGGAGCGCTGGTCCGAGGAGGAAGGCAGGCCCGAGAAAGAGGAGACCCAGCGACACGGCAGGGAGCAGAGCAAAGAGCCAGCCTCTGGAGGTCTCTACCGGGTGGGGCTTCTGCAGAAGAGCTTGGCTTCGCGGCTCAGAAGGTGCCCACTGCCCATCACACCATCAGCCACTCAAGGATGCTGGCAGTAAGACGCAAATCCCTTTTAAAAGCAAAGGCGTCTTCACTTGCTGATGGGCACTTGCGGAGGGTCGGTCCTGGCTGGCCAGGGCTAGAGAGCCATAACCTACAAGGCGGGGGGTATGGGGAAACATTACCTGAGCACCCCGGACGGGATCTGTGTCCGCTCGCGGGTACGTGTTAAAAGGCCGCCCGGTCTGCTGTGCCGTTTTCATGACCCCCTCGGAGATGGGGATATTTGGGGTCCGGATATTGGGTCCCGAAAGGGGCCGCTTTTCCCGGGGGGACTGCGGGCTGGTCTCCCCGGTGTAGGTCGATTTGGGTCTTTTGTCGGGGCCGTCCGCACGCTCCCTTCTGACCACGCGCTCCGACGGCTCCTTCTCGGCGGCCGTCTCCCTCCTCCCGTCTCGCTCGTGCGGCCTGTGCCTGTGGTCCGAGAAGGGCTTGTGGTAGTCTGGAGGGGGCGGCCGGTGGTGAGGCTTGCCCGTGGGCTCCTGCCCCCGGGGGTGCTGTGCGGCTGTCCTGTCTTCCCGGCTCCTCTCCCGGCTCTGGTCCAGCTCGTTCCGGGAGCCGTGGCGGTTCCGCTCCTTTAGCTCTTTGCCCCTGCTGCCCCCGGAGTCTTCCTCGGCGACGGCAGCATGGTAGTGGTGGTGGTGGCGGGAGGGCCTGGCCAGGGCCTCGCTCAGGCCGTTCTCCTGGTAGAGCTGGTCGTGCCGAGGCGGGAAGGGGGGGCTGTCCCTGCGCAGGGAGTTGGAGCGCGACACGGACATGTTCTCAAACTCATCCAGCAGCCAGGCCAGGGAGCCGTCCTTGGCCGCCTTGTTCCCCCGCACGATGGTCTTTATGCGCGGGGCATGGAAAACGGAAGCGGCGGGGAGGGGAGGGAGAAAAAAGACAAACACAAACACAAAAGAAAATAAGGTGAGCAACACAAAAACAAAAAAACGAAATTAAGGGGCCTGGTGGATGCCTGGCAGCTGGTCAGTTTTGGCACACACACACATACAAAATGAAGCGTACAGAAGCATGCGGGCGTCGGGAGGGGGCGCTGTTGCTCACACACTGGAGAAGCAAGGCCTTTAAGGAAGCTGCTCTTAACCCCAAAGTAATTTCCCCATATACACCCATTCGATCCGTGCATTGAACCTTCCTTGAAAACCACAAATGCAGGCGATAACAACGCTTGACTCGAAAAGCAATGGCTTAAAGGAAACGGCAAGGCCTCTGGATTTGTTATCCGAAGGCAGAAACCAAGATGCAATCTACGTAAAATGCATTGCCGTCATTTATGCTGCATCAGTCTGCAAAGCTCTGATTTCAGAGCCTTCCAATCACAGCATGGCCACCGTCTCTTCCTCTTGCCAGAAAAAGTAGGGGGGGGGTATATTTGCAAGACTCCACACTCATGTGGCCTTCCACTGGTGGCCCAGGAAAAGGCTTACTCCTCCCTCACGTATCATGTACACATCCTCTGGGGTCAATGCACGAACCTTTCCCTCCCCTCCCCCATGCACCTGCCTAAGCATTTCAAACGCAAAGAAACTTTCACATCCCACCTTTTCCACTGGCTTCCAAAGTGAAGATATGTTGCTTTGCTCCCCCCATCCCTCCTCAAGGCCTGATCCTATACTTTTGCACTGGCTCTTATCACACTCTGCACAACACAGAGATTAGTTGCATGCTGCAAGCAAGCGAGAGGACACAACAGCCAGGCCAGGCCAGGCCAGGCATGCAGATTATTATTTTTTCCCTTTCAAAACCAGACCCACACATCTGCTAGAACACTCTGAAGGACACCCTGCCAGACTGAAAACAGATTGCGGTGTCTGGAACCGAGACACCCAACCCCAACCCACCACAAATCCACCACAAGAAACTCCTGCAAGAGCGCTGAAGGATTTGGGAGGCAAGGCCTGTGCGAGGCCTGCAGTATAGATCTGCGGGTGTTAGCAGGAGAGCTTCCAAGGATCGCTCCTTTCACTCACGAGGGCCCTTTCTGCCATGCTGATTTATTTAGAGCATTTGTACCTGTCTCTTCAGGTACTAGAGCGGTTTACATCCCATCAAAACAGGACAGTCCCTGGCCCACAGATTACAATCTAAAACAAAAGACACTCAAGGGGAAGGGAACAAGGAGGGAAGAGGAAAAATCAAAACTCAGGCACCCGTTTCTAAACAGCTGTTTCTGTACTGACCAGCAGGCACAGTTCAGGGGCAGGAAGTGCTTGATGGAGCTGGCCTTTCAGTAAAGCTGACCAAGTGAGAGCCCTGCTTCCTATCTCTCCTGCTGACACAGTCTGGTGGAATGGCTGCCCCAAACGACAGTTGCAGGAGAGGAGGCCTGGTGGCGCTGCTTTTACACCGCAGGACCTTAAGGAAAAATTTCCAGCACCAGCGTAACAGCCATTGGTTCACACAGCATTTGAAATTTGCCAGGCGCATTTTGCACCTGGCTATCAGTCGCTTGCAACCATGTGAAGATACCGGGGCGCCGGGACGGTGCCTGACGTCTCCACCGTCTGAAGGTGCATGCCTGTTTTTCGCACGCTAACAACACACCCTTTAGAATTCTATCAGTGAGATTCTATCTGCCAAATCAGAACAAATTTCAGGATCAAAAAGTCACACTGAAAAATACAACTTTCAAGCCTCCTGGCCCCAAAATGGCAAACTAGGCATTCCGTGTTGGCGACTGTAACCCTGGTTTAAGGAGTCATTTGGCACCTAGCTTATATATCTGAGTTTCTAACACTGGTTTCACAAAGAAGCAGATGGTGCAAGTCAACATTCAGTTATCTGAGACCTACTAGAACCAAGAACCTCCCTTCTATTTGCGGCCTACATGCAACGCTTTATTTCCAAAACAAGCAGCGCTAAGGCTCCAGTGAGGCTGGTTGGTGAAGGAGAGGAAGAGACTAGACGAGTGGGCACACAAACTTCTGTTATTCCACCTCTGCCAAAACAGGACTCGTAAGCCAGACGCTTCGCATGGTGACACCCGACTGCTGCCATGAATGTTCCTCCGGCCCAAATCCAAAGCAAGCGAGATGCTGCCACCTTCACTCTACCCCGGGAGGACAATGCGCAGATTCCTCAGACCAGGAGCTTAAAAAACGCTCTCCGCCAACAGCCTCACATGTGGGCCAAAGCAGCAACACAAATAATCACCCACACCCACAGAGAAAAGTACAGCTTTCGGGTAATTGGCTCGGTGACTGTACAGTTATACAGGGGATGATGGCGGCGAGGACGCATTTATAAATAAATATTCCAGAAAGGCACTCTCGCTCCTTGCTCCCTTGGATTTGAAAACCTGACCTCAGCGCTTGCAGCCCTCCCAAGTATCCCTGATCTTTCTGCAAAGAGCGATTCTGTCCCAGTTTACACAGTCAGCAGGCTTTTTTCGTGGACTGTAACACTTCAGGCTATGGTGGTGGGGAGAGAGAGAGAGGTGAATGCTTCCCCCTGGAAATAATTGCCTCCACACAGGAAGTTAGCAATATGGACTCTGTATATTTGAAGGAGCGTCTCCACCCCCATCGTTCTGCCCGGACACTGAGGTCCAGCTCCGAGGGTCTTCTGGCAGAAGACATCTGAAGGCAGCCCTGTGTAGGGAAGTTTTTAATGGTTGGCACTTTATTGTGCTTTTAATATTTTCTTGGGAGCCGCCCAGAGTGGCTGGGGCAACCCAGCCAGATGGGTGGCATGTAAATAATAAAATTATTATTATTAGGAAGGCAGGGAGAAGAGCTTGCAGCGCAGCCTCCCCAACCTGCTACTCTTCTATATGTAACAACGTCTATGTGCAAAACTTCAGTAGGCCCCTGCAGCCCGAAACAGCACAATTTTATTCCATAATCCTGCAGACTGTATAAAAAGGGGCTGCACAGCATCACTGGAGGTGAGGACCTAAGAGCGCCAAGGGGGCCCACCTAGCCCAGAATCCTGTTCTCACAGTTGCCAACCAAATGCCCAAATGCAATGCCACTCTCCTCGCTTGCGGTTGCCAGAATTTAAGGCGCATGCGGTCTCTGATTCTGGGGGCAGGACACAGAGCCAGCATGACTAGGAGCCATTCAGTGCCTTAAACCCCCCCCCCAACAAAAGGGAAGTGGCTGACGGAGATGGGAAAGAGAGGAGGGCCACATCTATAGTGCACCAGCGCACAAAATCCATGCACGCGCCCTTCTCCCCCGCTGAAGCCCCTTCAGTTGACGTGGGCCGCCCTCAATGAATGTGTTTAGTATGCCAAGAGCGGCTGCCTTTTGCCCCCAGCCTACACAATGCATAGCTCCACACTGTGGAACCTCTTTCATTGGAGAGCTGTGCGAGCGCATAAAGATTTCCTTATCAGAGAGCGCTCAGGCTCATCTAGCCAGCTGGAAACGTCAAGAGGCAAAGATTCCCAAGAGGCAGGCTTGCCGGAGGGCGTGGGGTGGGGGGAAGAGAGGGAATGTGCTCAGGGAAGAGAGAGAGATCTGAGCCGCAGGATCAACATAGAATCACAGAACTGCAGAGTCGAAAGGTACCCCCAAAGGCCATCTAGTCCAACCCCCCTGCAATGCAGGGGTCTCAACTGAATCAGACACAACAGGAGGCCATCCAACCTCTGCTTGAAAACCTCCAAGGAAGGAGACTCCATCCTGAAGGTCCAGATTCCGGGCCAAGAACACTCCTAACCGCTATAACGTGCCATTACACAAGCACACTTGGCACAAACTGGCTCTAGTCCAACGCGGTGCCCAAAGGGGCAGAAACAGAAGGTTTCTTCCGTGTGGGCATGTGGCAGCAGGAGGAGATCTATGAGGCAACAGGGAGTAGGGGAAGGCTGAGTGAAAGGGGGTCCCGGGAAAAGTGCAGGCTACAGACTAAGCGACGCAAGCTTTGCTCCCCCTGAGAGAAGCAGATGGTGTGTGTGGTTGGACTTGCTCTGGAGTTTCGTCTGACAAAACCACACTGACGTTCACACAAGCCGTGCAGGAGCTGTGCCTGGTGTCAGAGAAATGCCCAAGTGCAGTGCGCTAACTGCTCCCACATGTATGGAAGCTGCTCTCTCTACAATGGCAGGTGTTTTGTTGGATAAAGGAAAAAGGGAGATTCTAGTATCTAAAGTCGCATGGAAGAGGGGAGCAAGCCTGTTTTCTGCTGCTCCGGAAGGGACGGCCCAAACCAATGTGCTCAAACGACACATCAGGAAGAACACACCATGCGCTCAGACGACACTAAGCATCAGGAAGAACTTCCTGGTGGTAAGAGCGATTTGACAGTGGAATGGACTCTCCTTCGTTGGAGGTTTTTAAAGAGATGCCGGGTGGCCATCTGCCAGAGATCCTTTAGCTGCAATTCCTGCATTGCAGGGGGTTGGACTAGATGACCCTTGGGGGTCTCTTCCAGATCCACAGTTCTGCGTTTCTCAGAGCTGAACCTTCCACAGCAGGTTCTGTGCCTAAGAGGGAGAGGGATGGGCTTCTTAGCTCCAAATGCCGTTCCTGGACTCGCCAGGAAACGGCCTGAAGCAGCAATGCACAGCGTGTTGCCTTGAATGAGTTTCTGAAGTGTCCTCCTGGGTAAACAAGAGGCAATTTGCAGAGGCCTGCAGAAACGTTAAGATCCCACCCTGCAGCTGCAGGACACGGAATGGGAGCCCAGCTCGTCGAAGGCGGCAACGGGGGCCCCTCCCCACTGCAGCTCCCAGAGCACCCCTGGGACAAGGTGCCTCGCCCTCCCCAGAAATGCAGAGCTGCACCTCCAAGGGAAAGAAGCAATCCCTGCAAAACTGCCGCGGCGTTTATTGGGAAGGCAGGGAGGGGTTTGTTTAGTTCCCTAAACAAGGCACGTCCCAAATTCTGGGCAAATTAGGGGGCTGGGGGCAGGATGACACCAGAAGCAGGGAAAGGTGTGGGTGAATGGTCAAGGGGAAAGCAGGGAAGAGGCTTGGAAGAACAGCCAAGAAAGGCAACAGCCAGCAAGATGGCTCTACTGGAATATTGCAGCTAGGGCAGGGGGCAGGGGGAGATTTGAGCTGGCACTTCCTATATACAGTGGTACCTCGGGTTACATACGCTTCATGTTACATACACTTCAGGTTACAGACTCCGCTAACCCAGAAATAGTGCTTCAGGTTAAGAACTTTGCTTCAGGATGAGAACAGAAATTGTGTGGTGGTGGTGCAGTGGCAGCAGGAGGCCCCATTAGCTAAAGTGGTGCTTCAGGTTAAGAACAGTTTCAGGTTAAGAAAGGACCTCTGGAACGAATTAAGTACTTAACCCGAGGTACCACTGTATATATATGTTTTTTAACATATCATTTTCAACAGTAATTAAACATACTTTTACATCTTATTCAGTTTTTTTGACTTCCATTGGTCCTGTCTGAAAATTTTCCAATCTAATCTCAGTATAAATTTCTTATTTTCCCTATTACATTTCAATCTCATAATCAATATCTCTATCTTTTTCCACTTTGTAACACTTCGTATATTTCTCCTTACAAAACTTATTGTAGTCCTACTAACGTAATTTGTTGATTACAGTTGCTCTTCAAATAATCCATATACTTCTTCTAATCTTCTGTAAATCTCTGGTAAATCGCTGGCACTTCCAACAAGGTGGGGCTCTGGCTAAGAGGCAAATTCTCCTGCCATCAGCGCCTCCCGGACCCAAGCAGACCAGTCTCATCAAGCCCCACACCAGGCCGCGGCAGGACTGGAACAACAGGTCTTTGGCTTTTATTCAGACCCAAGCCTTTCCCTCGCTTCTCTCCAGGAAGGCAACACGGGCTGAGTCACCCTCTGCTGAAATTACACGGAGGAGCAGCCTCTTCTGTGACCTGAAAGTCACAAGCCACTTCCTCTGTGGTCAGGGGTGCGACAGGACTTCCGCCCCTACCTTGTACTTGGGGACAGGGGCAGCAAGCAGGTGGCGCCTGGACGTGCCAGCCAGCCGGCTTATTTAAAAGGACAACATCCACTTTGGGCTTACAAAAATAAATGCAAAAAAACCACCATGCACACGCCATTTTAAAATGCAATATTGTTAGCAGAGCGACCAGGAGATAAACTGCATACAAAACACCTGGACACGCAAAAAGGCATTCCGATCGATTTTGGTATGAACGCTGAAACCTCATGGCCATGTTCAATGCCATGCAAGCATTCAGACCCAACCAAGCGTCATAGAATTGTAGAGTTGGAAGGAACCCCAGGGGTCATCTAGCCCAACCCCCAATCACAGCTAAAGAACCCCTGACAGGTGGCCCTCCAACCTCTGCTTAAAAACCTCCCGTGAAGGAGAGCCCACCACTTCCGCCTGCCCTCTACCTGGCAGTACAATGATTTATTTTACTCTTCCCAATATACTTTGTTGTCCTTGAATCCTGCTAGCCCATAGAAAGCCAGATGCTGATATCCTAATGCCTAAACAGACGCCTTCTCCATCAGCTAACCCTGACAGGGCTGCCTGTCACTATCTGCTCCTGGCTTGAACTAAAAGCTGAAGCAGGGCTCCCCATGCTGCCTCCCCGGCTAAGTAAATAGACAAACACAGACATTCTCCTTACCGCTAAGGATGTTCATACTGGTAAGCTGTCAAGGGTGGGCTGGCTATCAGGATGAGCCCCAAACCGGCACCCCATAGTACAGGAAGTGCGATAAATCTCTTCCAGGAAAACCAGCCAGCAAACCCCTTCCCCCATCGGACACGAACCTTTAAAAGCTTGCCGGTTTCCAGATCTGGGTGAATCACTGTTGACTTGAGGACACAAACCACGTTGTTTTCAAGACCAAGTTCCTGGCTTGCAAACACGCAGCGCTGTACCAACCCCCCTGCGCCCTCCAGCAGGAGGAATTTCGGCTCCTCCGCCTCAAGCTGAACCTCGTGATGCTTCTGAAAGAGCCAGGCGCTTCTGCCCCCAGAGGCCAACTCAGAGCTGCCTCACACACGCTGCATTTGACCCCTTGCCTGCTGCGCTGGGACTCCACTCCAACGTCCGGATTTTGGCTCTGGCGTTCAGGCCTGGGTGTCCCGCAGCTCCGAAATGTGTCAGGCTTGCGGTCCGCTCTCTCTCCCACCCACCTCACCCTGGGGGAAAAATTAGCTGAGTTGCAAACTCGTTACATGCAGGACACATACATCGCCCCATTCCACGAATGGAAGGGGTCGTTCCAGGACCTATGCCTGAACCAAGCAGTCATTCAGAGACGACATCTCATTTTGCTTCTCGCGCTACACCCCAGAGATGGGGGTCCAAAAACTCCAGTCACTCCTATATCCAAGCACAGCACAAACGACAGACAGGATACCGGGTGGGTGAGGGTAGCAAACTTCTGACATGAACAGAACTCGAGTCCTACAGAATCCGCTCATTACTTCATCAGAAAGAAATTCAGGAAGCTGTTCTGATGTTACATTTAGTCTTGTGAACGCACCCCCAAGCCTTCAAGGTTACACTGCAACCAGAATCCGTCACCCGACTCAACTCACATGTCCAGGAGTTTTGCCAGATGGCAGCAAACTGCAGCCTTGGGGGAGACGCTGAGTTCTCAAAAACCACTCCAACCTTATGGCTGGTGACAAAGTGGTGGGGTGAAATGACCCCAAGGTTACTTTGAGAGTCTCCTCTAGCGGTTTGAAGCTCTAGGTTCAGGATGTGTGTCCCCCCGCCACCGCCCCCTTCTTACACAGCATCAAAAGGTCTACAGATAGCACCTGTCCACATCAGAGCAGGCTGCAGCTACCAGCTGGCCATTTTATGGCTTACTCGCTAAGCCACCACTCAGAAGCACATTCCCCTTCCGACAGAAATGTATGAAGTTCAGGTCCCACACGAGAGCAAAGCTAGTGCCATCTACCTTCTGAGAGCCAGACTGGACGGCCGTAATGCACACTGGATCCACCAACGGCTTCGGCCGCTTGGCCGACTCCTCGATGATGCCCTGCCATTGCCTCGGCAGCCCTATGAACTTCTGCTCCTGCTGGTCATAGCCCGTGTGGACCCGGTGCTCAAAGTTGGAGGGGGCGGAGATCTCAATGCGCTTCTTCTTCTTGCTGAACATGGTGATGTTGGCTAGCAGACCTGAAAGGAAACACAGAAGGCGGTTTAGGAAAAAAAAAAGCGAGAGGAAATCATAGGAAAAGAAGAAAACAGGCAAATGAGGGTCAGTATAAAGCTTTGGCTTGAAATCGAAAATGGGCAACAGCTTTGCAGAAACGTCCTTCGCATGGTCAGGCATTCACAGACTTATAGCAAACTAAAAGGGAGCAGAACTCAAATGCTCTCCTAGGACCAGGCTTCAGAAATGTTGGACTACAACTCCCATCAGCCCCAGCCAGTACAGTGCCTGTAGCCCCAAACATCTGGAAGGTACCAGGCTGGGGAAAGGATGAGCCTCAAGAACCATCAAGCAAATGAAGCTCTGGCTTGTTGCAGGAGCTGGAAAAACGTCCCAGTCATTCCCTTCCTTTGCTCAAGACTGATGGTTGCTGGAAACCACAGGAGAGGAGGGGTGCTCTTGTGCCCGAATCCTGCTTGCTGGTTTCCGCACAGGCATTAATTAGGCCACTGCCGGAACAGGATGCTGGAATAGATGGGCCATTGGCGTGACCCAGGACACTCTTATGTGCTCTCTCTTCTTTTGCAGTCGCTGCACAATGAAGAAACCGATTAAGGCGCTTGACAAATATTAAGAGAAAAGCAAGGCAAGCCATTGGCATCCAAGCTCAAGTTCTGCAATACCAATCGGCTGTTATCAGTTTGGCCTGTTTGTCCATCTAGCTCTGTACTTTCTCCTCTAGCTGGCGATGGCTCTCCAGGGCCTTGCGCTCAGAGAGAGGGGGAGGTTTTCCCCGTTACCTGCTACTCAGGTCTTTTTAACTGGAGGCTCTGCCAGGGACTGAGCCCCAAACCTATTGCCTACAGGTGCTCTGCACTGATTTATAGCCCCTCCACACGAGAAAGAATAGACCACGAGGTCAGTAAGATTCAGGGCAACACACCTTGCAGGATCACTGCTTCCAATGCCAGCAGCGTAATCAGTGCAAACTTATTCCCAGTCACAACACTGGGAACCCTTGAATTCTGGCTACAAAGGACTACAGAGCTGGCTGGCTGTAAACCTTCCTCCAGCGATGAAACCAAAAGCCTTACACATTTGGAGAATCTACTCTCCTGGAGGAAGCGGAGACAACCAAAAAAAGTACACACAACTACATGAGAGCAAAGGAACAGCCCAGCACATGGCATGACAGAAGTATTTTTATTTATCTCATTTATTTAAAGTATTTGCAGGTTGCCTTTGTTGACATAAAACAGGGTGGGGAAAAAGCCTCCTCCAAGGGAAACCTTAGAGATAAATACAACAGCACATCAAACATACTCAGAGGGAACTCGAAGATACAAAAGCCACTTACGAGACATACAAACAAAGTGTGTTTTGAAATGAGACTTTAGCCACGAGGATAAGGATCGGATGGATATAAGTGAAGCTCTCTTTAATAGAGTCAGAGCAGGCAATGTGTACAGGTAGTGCTTTAAAAAACCCACAGGACTCCTGATGACATTCCCATGCTTCTTAAAATATCTCTTGGCCACCAGATGCTAGGAATAGGGAGGGGATGTGGATCAAGGAGATAAAGAACTGTACAACTTTAAAAAGACATCTGGAGGCAGCCCTATATTGGAAAGTTTTTAATGTTTGATGTTTTACTATGTTTTTATATATGCTGTAAACCGCCCAGAGCAGCTGTGTGGCGTATAATAATAGTAATAATAATGATAATAATGATAGTAATAATGATGATGATGATAATAATAATGATAATAATAGTAATAATAATAATAATAATAATCGTTCTCCTGAGGAACTCTGAGAGCCGCCCCTTCCAGAGGCATCTGCCGGGCCACTGCCAGACTCCCCACAGCAAGCCAAATATATTCTGAACGTGGGGCAGGATCTTTCTTCTTTGCTCCACATGCCAGCCCAGTCCTTTCCCAGCTTCTGCCCTGCTTTTGCCTGCACGCCCCTGCCTCAGCGCATCCTTGGGGAGAGCCTCCTCCTACTCAGAGAAACAGTTTTGTTTTGACTCATCTGTCCCACAGGTGCCCGAGCCCTCGATGACCCCGGAAAGCATTCCTAAAACTGACTGCAGTCAGAAGCCCTCAGCACTTTGTAGGATCAGATCTATGTCAATCCCGGCTGGCGGCTTAATTGCAAACACACAGACACATCCGGTTCTTATTGCACAATGACAGTGGCCCTCTCCTGAACCAGGGCAAGGGAGGAGTTCCAAACCACTTCCAAGAGACTCTGATCAGCGATGATGAAGAGAGCATCGCGTCACAACCTTTCCTGCACAATAGGATCACACTTTATGCATGGGTTTGGTTCCTAAGGTAAAGGTAAAGGGACCCCTGACCGTTAGGTCCAGTCGTGGCCGACTCTGGGGTTGCGGCGCTCATCTCGCTTTACTGGCCGAGGGAGCCGGCGTACAGCTTCCGGGTCATGTGGCCAGCAGGACTAAGCCGCTTCTGGCGAACTAGAGCAGCGCACAGAAATGCCGTTTACCTTTCCGCCGGAGCGGTACCTATTTATCTACTTGCACTTTGACGTGCTTTCGAACTGCTAGGTTGGCAGGAGCAGGGACTGAGAAATGGGAGCTCACCCCATCGCGGGGATTCGAACAGTCGACCTTCTGATCGGCAAGTCCTAGACTCTGTGGTTTAACCATAGCGCCACCCGCGTTTGGTTCCTAGGGTATACCCAAATCCTTGGAGTTGCCCTGCAGCTAGCGGATGAGGGGCAGAGAGAAATCCCCACACTCCCAGAGACCCTGCGCTGAGTGGGCCTTCTCAGCAAGAAATGCAGAGAGCTTAAAAGAGTGGCTTGCACAGGTAACCCAAGAGGAACCAGTGTGAAAAGAGATTTTATGCTCTCTGACTTGCTTGGGGGGCAAAGCTTGCTCAGTGTGCCAGCTCAAGGAGGCTGGGGTCCTCATGTGAGATCATACGGAAACACAATGACCTCACAGCAGCGTTCCAGAGCCCGCGTGCTGAGTGCATCTTGCTCCCCAAGCAAGGTGGAGAGCTTAAAAGCTCCTTCTGCACCAGGTAACCCCAAGCAGACCTGACACAAAAGAGCTTTTTCGCTTGGATCTAACTTACGCCATTTCAACCAGCCTGCCTTCAATCGCGCCCAGCTGAAATCACACAGATGCACGCAGGGTGTGACTGTACTGCACTAGACCCAAAAGCAGAGGGCGACACCACAGAGAGACCGGAGGAAATCGGATTTTCCTGGGCTGCAAGGAAGCTTTGGCACCAAGGGAGATCTAAGCAGGTCTTCCCGAGCTGCTGTAAATAAGGAAAGGCCTGGCTAGTTTACATCCGTAGGATGGAGCATCCTTGAAAGACAAAGGCAGGACAAGAGAACAGGCAAACATTTTGCTCAAGGCAGTCTGAAGAGCACTCGGAATCAGTACAAAGAAGATGGCTGAAGCAGTCAAAATGGTTACGTATTCCTGGTATCTCACCTGCTGATCATTCACTGCCTTCCCTTCAACCAGGCAGCCTCAACCTCAACCTCAACGGAGATCCAGACTTAATGCCACCGACCAGAAGGGGCTGCGGGAGCTATTACTGTATTTTTAGCTCTATAAGACGCACCAGACCATAGGACGCACCTAGTTTTTGGAGGAGGAAAACAAGAAAAAAAATATTCTGAATCCCAGAAGCCAGAACAGCAAGAGGGATCTGGCTTCTGGGATAGCCTCTTGCTGTCCTGGCTTAGGGGATAGCTGCTCGCAGCCTCTCCCAGGCAGCGGGATGAAGGCTCCCCCAAAAGCCACGCTCCCTTTAAAGAGCGTGCAGAGTGTGTGTGTGGCTCTTGGGGGCTTTTCCCCTAGGAGGGAGGGGGAAAAGCCCCCAAGAGCTGCACACACGCTCCACGCGGCTATTTAAAAGGAGCGCTGAGCAGAGCCTCCCGCCTGCATTCGCTCCATAAGACGCACACACATTTCCCCTTACTTTTTAGGAGGGGGAAAGTGCGTCTTATAGAGCAAAAAAATACGGTAAGTGCCTTCCTATTCTGGGTCACACTTCTTTTGATACTAAATCAAGCCGTCTTGTGGGTTGCCAGAACAAGGGAGAGCAGGGGCAAAAGTGGGTGCAGCAACATGTGATTTTTTTCTCCATCCAGGGCAGAAAGAGGCATCACCAGAGTTCAGGTCTTAAGCGGCCAGGTTTCCGACAGGGCCCTGGATCATGCAGGATGCGGCGGCTAGGCTGCTGTTGAGAGCTTCTGGTTGAGAACATGTGACTCCACTGTTAAAACAGTGGCTGCCTACCAACTACCGAGCCTCAGGCACCACCTGAACCCTTATATTTCAGCTCAATAGCCAAGATCATCTCCAGCAGTGCCACTGGTGAGGCTCGTTTGACAGCAAGAAACCAAGCCTTTAGTATCACTGGCCCAGTCCTGTGCAACTCTCTGCCACTAGACCAGCGGTTCTCAACCTGTGGGTCCTCAGATGTTGTTGGACTACAACTCCCATCATCCCTGAGCTCTGGCCTTGCTAGCTAGGGGTGATGGGAGTTGTAGTTCAACAACTTCTGGGGACCCACAGCTTGAGAAAGGCTGCACTAGACACTCATCAGGAGCCTTCTGTGCCAACTTTTGAACGCCTGCTGAAAACCTTTCTATTCTGCCAGGCCTATGCAGGCAATTAAGAATGTATCCTTCCACAATGGTTATTTGATGTCTGATCTTAACCTTTTTATGGTTCTTATTGTATGGTTTTATGTTTTGTTGCTGTAAATCACTTTGAGATAGATATTAACATAGATTAACAATGTGCTTTGTGAAGAAGGACTTCCTTTTATCTCTCCTGAATAATTGCACATGCTGGCCAAAGTAACCTTATAGAAACTGGTGTCTAACCCTCCAAGCTCCGGAGGGATTGCAGTGGGAACCCTGTTCCTTGAACAATGTCTCTACCCTGGACTGACCCATTATTAAGATGCACTGTAAATGTGAAAACGGCTGGTTTCTCTCTCCATCTATTAAACATGCACTCTGATTC